AAAACATGCACACACACTTATATACATCTATCGTCTTTTCTGCAGACATAAACAAATCATACATATAAACTATATATATTGGTTTAATCACACACCTGCCTATATATAATGCATATTATTATATATACAAATAAAGTATGTATGTATGTATATACATATATGTGCACAAGTGTATGATTACAACAATCAAGTTAAAATGAAAAGAAGATGTACAAAATATAAAAGAACATGTAATAAGTGGAATGTCAAGCTACAGAGATTGTTGGTGTCATCACTGCACTATCAAACATACACATGAGTATGATTGGAGACAGAGAGGCTAAATATTTCACTGTCAGAGCATGTCGAGAAGTGCAATTCATTTCTCTCTCATGTGCTTTAGGACAATGACAATTTAATACAAGGCCAGTGGATGTAAAAGAGATAAAAACTGAACAAACTGGCCCAGCATAATCACAGATTTCCTCCAGAGAGCTTGCTAGCATGAGGCTCATATGCACTTGTAACAGATCAACATTTTATTGTTTCTTCCCCCCGTGAACCTGCCGTGAACAGAATTCAGAGCAAAATATGTCTCATGATAGAGCCTACTTTAAACTTCAGTGGGGATGCTGAACAAGAGTGACTTAAGAATTTACTACATCTATCCTGTTCATTTTAATGACCAATATAATGCTAGCAAACAATAATAATTGGCCACTTGTTTGAGGGTTCTAAGTGTGACATTCATTCATTCTTATACTTGCAACATGAGTGAAAACAATCCCACAAATGGCAAAGATCATTTAATTAGAAACATTCTGTAAAATGTACTGCTCAAAAAGAATTAGGAGCCAATATCATATCTTAACTGCATAACGTATGAGATGTGCTATAGAATAGAGGCTGGTGTAGCTTTAAGAAATATGGGCTTACTATACTTGCCAGCTACTCTAAGCAAAGTATGATTCAAGTATTGTTAAATATAATCATGGACCGGTTACCTTCTTTATTTGATGAATAGCACCATGTATTTGAAATTAATTAGAAAAGTAGGGCTTGGCTAATGAGGCAGTCCTTATCTTTTCTTAGCTGTGCAAGCACAAGTATTTTTGTGCTGGCTCAATATTTTTTAAATGCCCAAAGTGCTATTAACGAAGTTAAAATCTGATTAAAATAAGAGCAACACCTAAACTGTCATAACAGTCTTGTACAGCTCTAAAAAAGTAAAGATTGACTATTCCTTTCTTATTTTAGTATGTGTTTTGAAAAAGACATGATTTGTTATTAGAGCTCAATATTGCTTCCATTCTCTTCAGCATCTCTGAAAATAGTTGTGTAAGAGCACAGTTATCCTTTACTACAGAATAATGAGTACAGTGCCTTTCTACATATATGCCTGGGTTTTAAGGAAAGAAAATTAGAACGCTACAAAAAGAGATAGTATGTCTTGGAAAGGGGAAAGAAAAAAACAGTAGAAAAAATGATCAGCTATTCAAGAGAATTAATGGATATCCACAAGGGCTTTGCTAATAACACGGGTTAATTACCACTGCAACGCACCAGGCTCAGTAAATAAAAGAGCACAACCATAAACACATTAAAATGAGCAACCATCATTAAAAGAAGGGCCAGACCCAGTAAATGAAAAGCTGTCAGACAGCCATTTCAGCACAAGCCCTTTACACTTAGCATTTTAAAACTTGCCAACAAAGTCTATGAAAAAAAAAAACCCCAAACAAAACCTAAAATCTAATCTAAAATAGAGAGAAGCGTGGAATAAGCCCCACTTACTGTCCAAGGAGATAACATAAAAGGGATCCATTCATTCAGACACATTTTTAGGTTCACTCCACATCAGAGCGCTGGGTTCCACACTAGGTACTTGATATGGGTATTGGGGCCTTATCGTTTTGAACCTGAATGCTGTTTTCTTTATTTTTTTAAAGAGTTAATGTGAGACCTAATACTTCTGGCACATGAGGTTAAAAGTCTCCACCTCTAAGAAACTGTAGAGTAGAATCAATTGTCACTTCCCACTTATTTACAAAGAAATACTCGCCAGTCCGCCCCTTTCCTCTACTTACAAATTGCAGGTATTTCCAGATCATAGTCTTTGGGAATAAGCAGTTTTATCATAACATTTTTAAAGGAAAAGAATGAAACTAAGACAAACTCTCCTATTTTACACGCGTGCTCGCTCTCTCTCTAGGTACAGATAAAAATATAGATATATAAATATTATACAAAAGATGGGCCATTCCTGTACTGAAACATGATCACATCTAGAAAAATATTATTTAAAACGTGCACTGGTTATCATCATGCTAAAGTGCCTTTGCTGCTCTGTGTGATTTCTGTTTAGACCCACTTTCTCTATCTAAAATTACAACAGTGCTAGTCAAGCTTTATTTCTTATAATATCTGTATTTTATCTCTTGTCCTGCAAAATAAAAATCCACGCACATTGGGTTCTTTATGTTTAAATTTCTTTTTCTTTTTTTTCCTTTCTTTCTTTTTTTTTTTGAGTGGAGGAAGTAGGGCAGGGGTCGGGGGCTGAAATTCATGGAACAGAGTGAGCCACAAAGGGCAAATGTACATAGTGCAGAGAAGCTATCTGTAGTCACAAATCTATTCAGTTTTCTATGTTTGGCATTCAGAGATCATGTTTAAATTTACTAAACTAGTTCCTCCCCCTCCTCCCCTTTTTTGGAGTGTTTCAATTGCCTTTCCTTCTTCCAACAGCTGTGACAACTGTTAAAACAGTCAGTAAAATTAAGTCTGCTCTATAATCCTTTAGTCAACGTTACATTTTAATCAGAGGTTGAAGGCGATTTCATGTTATGAACACACTGATTCATTTAGAATGATTAAACTGACACATATGTCAAAATGACCAGATATATTTATTGCATCTGTTATGTTATTAACTATTATTAATTATGAGTGTTATTGTTATTGCTGAAAAAGCAAAAGCCCAGTTGCAGCTGGCTTTAAGTTATTGCATTCTTGAACATGCTCTGCCTCAAAATCAAAGCATACCTAATGATGATCAGACAGATGTCTGTGCACTCCCAAAATGTTCAGTCAATTTTTAGCATGATCGTCCTCTATAAAGTGAGAACTACTGAAATTAGCTACTATGTTTACTTCATCTGCAAAACTGCCTTTATGTTTCTATGTGCATAAGCACATGATAGCATACACTCAATATGCAATTAATATGAATATTAATAGCATGCAAAACTCTGTGGTTTATTAACTGAGACAGAGAGACAGATGCGTTTCTGAGCATTAGGTGTTGCTATCTATCCACTCAACCATCTACCTATTAGTTCCCACTTCCGGACAATAAATTGGTATTAAGAAGACTTTTAACTGAGCCAAAGGGGAAAAAAGAATTAGTTTGAATCTTACACTAGAGCCAAAAAGACATGTGCCTCTATTTCATTTAAATGCATCTACTTCAAGAGGCTTATCCAAACTAATCATTCAAATTAGCTGTAAGAACATAAATGCAAGAAAGCTCCTTAAAAGTATCTAAAAAAAAAATTAAAATCTCTATTTTTTAAAGAAAACTTCAAATATTAAATGCAAGTTGTGGCAATTGTATTCATACATATGTGGAGACATTTAATGCTATACAGTAGTTCACTGAGCCCTGACCTATTAGTGGGCATCCTACCTTTATTTATTTTCATTTATTTAATCCAGAAATTTTACAGTGGATCCTCCCCCTCTTCCCATTCTCAAAGTGTTTTTCCTTTGGCAAGTCTATCTGCTGCTGTTCTCTTTATTTCCCCAACACACCATCACTGCAAGTCACTTTTCATCTCTGGCTTAATTACAAATAGCAATGTAATATGCAGACACTACGGACAGCTAGTGGGCATCCACCTCTAATACACTGTCTGTCACCTCTCAATACAGCCTTCCTACATACTACATCTAGGGCTACGTTTTACTACCAGCTTTTGCTTTTTCTTCAGTATTACAGTCATTGCGCATCTATGTAACTGGCTCGACATAAAGAAAGATGAATCAGTGACAACTCCCATGATATACTAATATTTAATCCTGATTGTAGGCTGAAATCAAGTTTATGAGCCATGCATCAAGACTGAATGCTTGATTTTTTTTTGGGGGGGGGGGGGGGGTTCTAGTTTAGATCTCAGAAAGTCCATATAGGTGCACATATATTAAAGTAGGTAGTTAATAGGTACAGATGAAACAACTATATATGCCGTACATTAAAAAGTACTTTACTGTCTTTTGTGGGGAAACAACCAAACAAAACAGGCTACATGCTCAGCATGCTACATTCAACCAGTTCTCTATTAAAGTAAAAACATTCAAATCAGTTCGGCCCTTTTCATCCTCAGTATTTGTCTCTTATTAGAAAGTGCAAATTTCCCTTGTTTCTAAATGGATTTATCCGTCAGCACAGTGCTGGCTGAACAGTATCTCAGACTCAAACTGCAGAAGGCTAGTTTTCAGTATTATTCCTTAAGAGAGGAATTAAGCAGTCATGCTATTTTCCTGACTAACTGCACAGTCAGAAATGACAGGGAGACCAAAATATCTGTCAAACTGCAAATACATGAGAGGTACTGGTATAAATCATTTCTAGCCTATATTCTTTTAAGCGCCCCCCTCCCTCCCCTCCTTTTTTTTTCCTGGGAAAAACGTGTCCTACTAAAAGACACATTTTAACAATTCACTAAGCATTTCTGCCAAGTGCCTATTATTAGTACCTGAATAAGAAGTGACTGTCACACAGCTGTTTTACTGACAGTCACAGGGCTTTGACTCAAAGGTAACATTGTAGTCAGAGAACAATTCTCCACTTACTGAATTAGCAGATCACCCACAGCACACAAAAAAGACAAGACAGACACAAACGACCACTCATGCACACAGAAACCACAGAGCATTACCTGAGTCAGTGTTTACAGATTTTCTCATTAAAAAAAAAGGGGGGGAAGGGGTGGAGGGGGGGTGGGGGGGAGAAAGGTACCTACTCTTCTTCGTAGTGCAGGGAAAAAGATTCAGGAAGGCAAAGTTCTACCGAATCCATGTGCGCTCGGCAACCATTATTTGTGCACCCCACTATAAATCAAAGTTTCCTTGACAGAGCACAGTGCAATTAACACAAATGTTCTCCTGGTGACAAGCCTATAGGCACAGCCAGTTGGGACCAAAAGCTCTCACACTCTCCTAATCAAGGACTTAAAGCCCCGATTGGAGCTTATTAATATGAAGTAGGGCTTTACATATGCAGTCCCACTGGCCCAGACAGGCACTGGATTGGTAGGACATTAGCCAATCCGCTGGGAGGAGAACACAGGCTGCACAGATTGAGAAGAGCCAGGCAGGTAGAGAGGGGTGGAGAAACTGAAAGAGACTGAAAACAGAGTGGAGAGATAATAAAAAGAAATGTAAATGCTTCCAACATTTTCGAAGGGGATACAAAGAAAAGCTAATTCACTTAACTCTCTAGACACAAAATGTTTTCTAGACTTAAAAACAGAGTTTGCCAGGTACCTTGCCAGGAAGAAATACATGCAGACTCTCAGTAAATGTTGGGAAGAATTCATCATAAGGTAGAGAATGAAGTTTGTACTCCCATTATCTGTTTCATTACATTTTTTCGGAGGGTGGGGGGAGTGGAGGGGCAGGGGAGTTGAGTTGGGGTTTGTTTTTAAGGGCTTTGATTTTTCATGCATTAATACTTTTTTTGTTTGTTTGTCTACCTTCTGATCATCCTGGTTTATACCGAGCACTTAAAATCAAACCTAGTGTTTTAAAGATTCTGGGTAACTGAACTTTCAGCTGTAGGGTTGTGTTGTTAATTCATATTTAGAACTGAAATTCTCAGTTATCTGTACATACTGGACACTAAAATTAGCACTTTAAAATGCATGTCTTTTAACAAGATGGTTGCACATGGGATTATGAGTGTGTATGTGTGAACATATAGGTGAATATACAGACTGGGTACAAGTTATCAGGGGTATATTTAGCACCGTCTCACCAAATTCAAACATTTAGAATTTGTTCATAAACAGAAGGAAAAACTCCAGGACAGATCAATTTATTCTGTAACTGTGGTGGGATTATAGTGGACTAAACTCTGCATGTTCATTTTAACAAGATAAGGACTGTACTGTGGCAGGTTAAATTTTGGATCAAACAGACACCTCTACAATTTTTTTTAATTATTTTAAAAATAAATGTTACTGGACTGGAAGTAAACATTACTCATGTGCATGCCTACATAATCATCTTTAGATCCAGTTTCCCCAAATACTAGCTCTGTAACTCATAATTGTCCACCTCTGTCATAAAGAAAGGTCACTGAATAAACCAGTCTCAAGAAAATGATCATATGTAAAGCAGTAGTCACTTTTTACACTGAAAATACACACCTTAGCTGAAAATGTCACCTCAATACATTTCTCTCAAAAGCTATAGTTTGCTAGTTTAACATTAGAAATAAAAGCTCATATTTATTTTCTAGTTTAAAAAAATATTTTGTCCTGTCAACCTGCAATGTATATAAATACTGGCTATTGTGAAAGAGAAGATAACAGAGGAAAACCAACATTTAAAAAAATAATTCAGTTTTAGTGCTCACAAAGTCTTTTGTGACTGGAGCCCTAGATGATGCAAATGGCATAATCTTTTAGATCAAAACCAATCAGTGCACACCCTCAGAATGCATTAATACCATTCACAAATGGGAACACCAATGCCTTCTCCCAATCCATTTTGCAGCTTCTGGCAAAGAAACCTCTGCAGAACTGGTGTGTGTGTGTGTGTGTGTGTGTGTGTGTGTGTGTGTGTGTGTGTGTGTGTGTGTGTGTGTGTGTGTGTGTGTGAGAAATATATATGCATAATGGACTTGTTTGTACCTGTTTATGACAGAATGTGTACAGAATTTAACCAGATGTGAAAAATGGGCCTGCTTCTTATTTATGTGATATAAATACATGCAAGTTTACAGATCAGAACTCACACAGCAAAACTACGTCCCCGACTACTGTATAAAAGCAGGTAGTAAAAGCTTAATTACCAGTAGCATTAGGCTGTCTATATTGTTAAATGTGAACTCTGTAATTAAGATGTAAATTCAGTTGTGAGCAGTGAATTAAAAGAGCTTTGAGATGTAGAATAAAAGCTCAGCATTCTGTAGAACTAACGCACAGAAAGAAAACATTTTTATCGTATTTTAAAATGAGAGGCATTTAATCATATTACAGTATTAGAATGGTCTCTTAGAAAAACATTTTGATAAAAGAAATGCTGTAGGTTTTTTTAATCAAAGCAGCACTTGAAAAATATGTTTATTCTGTTATAGATATCCTTTATTCCTATGTAAACCCAAAGTACTGATCCCGCTACCCTGTCCATTCATGCATATTTCATAAATAAAACAAAAAATCTCCATGCAAATGTGTACATGTGTATTGTTTAATTATATATCTTTAAATATACATATCCACTTATTCTAAAGTAGCTATTTGTCACTATAGTGGCATATGGGTTTGAAATTCCTTCAAACCCCCTTTCTATGTGACTATTTTATTGTGAAAGCTAATCCATGATGAATTTCTGTATACAAGTCACTTGACAAAAGTCATTTCAAGTATAATTTTAATAGAATTTAAGGTATTATTTAAGATATTATTAAACCCTCTCAAATCTTATCACACCACACTTTACCATATGTTTACTTTTGTTCATTATCTTTCAGACAGTGTATTTGTATTCAGATGCTGAAAATGTGATGTCTATTGCCTTCTCTTATGCTCTGTCTTCCAGTATACTATCTTTTTTAAGTCCACACAGTTTCCACTACTCCTTTTCTCTTCTCCCCATCCAATCTTTCTCTCACCCTATTAACCATCACTACCTTTCCACCAACCATCTTTCATCCACGCAAGCGGCTGTCTTTACTGCCAGTTCTGCTCCTTGGATGACCAGAAACACACAGTGCTATACTGTACGTGTTGATAAACAAAGCAGTTGGCTTCGTCCCCTGGGACTCAAGTGTCACCTCCACCAGAGGAGGGTCTGGAATTCCAACTACATGCTTGAAGTTGGGTTTCCCAGTTAGTGATCAGTTAACAAAAAAAAAGTAAGAAAGAAAGAAGAAAGATTACTGCGTCAAAGAACTGGGACAAGCTGTAGCTTAGTTTCTCAGTAAGCTTGCATGTGCCACGCTAGAAATAAATAAGTACTAGGGGAAAACACAGTCAAGGCAGACATTGGCTTACAGAATTTCAGCAGGGGATACATAATAAGTACACTCACACATGTCTGCACTAACTTATCAAAATCTACAATGCAAAATCTTACCACGAGGAGTCTACAGAAAACAGTACTGGAATGGAGGGGGGGGAGGGGGGTATCAAAAAAACTCTCTGTCACCAGTGTCTGCATCAGTCGATAAGCATTACACATCCCCATTTCTGTGTGCGTATAACTATCCCTGTGTATAGAACAGTACATCTTCAAGCACCCTCACACTTAAATACTACAGACAGTTCAAGGCATCCAAACAGCCACATTCCTAAACCACAGCTACCTCAAGGCAACCGAAGAAGTAAGATTCAGTGGCACTTTACAGACGCGGCACAGTAAGTCGTGCCAAGTGCATGTTTATCTAAAAGAGCAATGAGCAAGAGACACTTGGAAAGGGGGCAAAAAACATGACAATTCCCAAGCACCTGCTGAGAAATTATTTACATTAAAACAAATGCCAATTGTGAATCCTACCCTATTTAAGAAAGAAGCTTTCCCCACACAGAGCTGTCCTTCAGCAAAATCTAGCAGAGGACAGCCATGTTTTTAATAAAATTTGAAACAAACGTTGAAATGACACCTCTTATTGTAAATGAGCTATGAAAAGATCAATTTAATATTTTCTTATGATTTCCTTTCCACCACTCCACAAAGTAATCAAGTGACAGAATTGTCCTAAATAAGAACATAATACATGGCATGCTGCTGAATGATCAGCAGTAAAACTATTCTGGTTGCTATCCTGTTGCCCCATTGGATTTGGCTTGAGTTTGCCTTGTGTGTTCTTCAAGTAAAGAAACACAACACATCTCTAGATACTGGGTTGTTTTTTTTAAGCTATCAGTAAAAAAGTTACAAACTTTGTTCACCTGTTTTATACAGCTGGGCAAATTGCAGCTGGTTATTGCTTTAGAAACATCTGCTACTACAGTCTCTACTTAGCATTAATTGCTTTTTTTTGGTTTTAGAAAAATATACGTAGTATTATCTCAAAATGTGCTTTAGAACTTAACCACAGAGCAGGAATTGTTCTCTCGCACAACAAAACTGGACTGTTTTCTTCAATTTTGTTTTTTAAACTCAGAACATTTTGTATATTGTAAGAAATCACAGTTGCCTTACCATATTATTATTACCACATTCTATTAATCTGATCTTAACAAAACACTCCATATTTTCTTTTCCCTTTATTTTCAAGGACATGGTCACTGATATTAAATAAATGCTATGGAATAGAACCCTTTCACATCGCTGTAAGTGATTTTTTTCGTCCTGAACGAAACACCTTTTCCAAACCCTATAACAGAAAGAAAAATATGTGCTGCCTGTCACCCACCAAATATATATTTATATATATTATATATATATTTCTCACAAGAGAAAATTTGGGCATTCACTTCAATATTGATATTTCTCTATTACACCAAGCTTTTTTCCGAGTGTAAGTTTCTTTAGGGAAGCAGAAGTGCATTACGGTCTCAGACATCCAAGGATAAGATGACTGAGGGAATTCAGTTGCTCTGTTTAATTAATACAGGATTATTTCACTTTCATTTTGTGAAGCTAATAATATGACTGGTGGAATGTCAGTAAAAATTAAATCATAAACTAGTGCAGTACCAAAGGGAAAACTTACTTTAGTTATGGAGTATTCCCAGCAGAAATCTTAAAAATCTTATACATATTTACACTGATAAAATATCACGCATACTTCATAGGATACTGCAAGCTTTCAACAATCCTTATGGCATGTATTTACAGAGCAAGAGTTAACATTTTGAGATTATACATTAATAAATGAGTTGCAGTTATATTGTTTCGTGAATGTTAAGTGCTACATGCTAAACACAGGAATGCACTCAAGGTCAATGTCCTATTTTAGACCTTTTCAGCAGCTGTGATATTATGATAATCACCTTTAAAATA